GGGGGGGGGGACCAGAAAACCTGCTTAAGCCTTTTATAATTTAACTTTAAGTCAACGGCGTTTCTTTTAATCGGTGAGCCCCCGGCCCACCCACACGGCCCCCTGGTGTCCGCACACAGAAGCTCAGGCAGGACATCTGGTAGCCAGGAGCCTCGGGACAGCCCCCACAGCGCGCATGAGCCCCTCCTCTCTGCCAGGCAAGTCCTGGGCCCCGGGGCTGAGGCAAGGAGCAGGTCAATAATGAGCCTCCTCAGTCCCGGCGAAGGCTGGCGTGCACAGTCCATGGACTACTGCAGGACAGCAGGACCATGACGATGCAGAGAGTGCCGCATGGGACACACAAAGTGGAGCCTCCCCAAGGCCCCACTCAGCCCGAGGTCTGAAGAGCAGGGGCAATGCAAGGGACAGCTGTGAAAACAGCAGAGCAAAAGCCCTGGGGCAGGAACCGGCCTAGGACGGAATCCTGCAGTACAGCTGGGGGCAGGGGTGCTAGCGTCCCTTACTCGCACAACCCTATACAGAGGAGAAGCGCTCCTTCACCACCCCGGCAAAGCCCACACCAGGCACACCAGGTCCTCAGCCACCGGAGCAGCTCCCTAGAGGCCAACCTGGCCAAACAATGGCCCACTGTGACCCCAGGGCGCTCCTGCGGGAAGGGGCTGTGCGGGGAACTCAGACAGGAGGCTGCAGGCAACCAGGGTATCCCACCCCCACCTGTGCCTCTGCCAGGCCCCCTAGCCCACGCACGCTGCCGTCACACACGGGATTCCTCCGTCCCCAGACAAGTAGGTTTTCCAGAGGAACTTGCATTCAAACAGGGTCACCTGACAAAAATGGGACCTCGAAGGAACACACCGGACCGAAATAAGCGCCTGGCCCGTGGCTGCCGGCACCCACTCTGCTGACGGACAGGATGGAACGGCAAGCGGCCTTCAGCTGTAACTCCCTCTGATGGGGGACACACACCCTGGGACCCGGGGATCAGGGGACAAAGGGGTCCTCCTCAGGACCTGGCCAGGAACGGGCATGAGCGCTCCCTGTGTGCCCCAAGACTAAGCAGGACAGAGATCCGTCACTGTCGCTCCTGGATCACAAAGTCCAACTCTAGTGGAAAGATAGAGGACTTGACCCAGACCCTTGCATGATACAAGGAGCCCCGGGGAGTCTGGGGTGCCCAGGAAAGCTGGCAGGGCTGGCAGAAGCCACTTCCGTAGGCCCGTCCCCCCCAGCACCCAGCCTGCACCCCCCAGGCTTCGGTGAAGGGGGAGGCCCCTGGACAGCACTTTCCAGCGGCGGCGGGGAGGGGGGCTGCCGGTGCACAAGGCGGGCCGGCACTGTGGACATCGGCCCGTGGACACGGCCGCCACAGGAGCCGGGAGACAGGTTCAGCGGCTCCCCAGACCCCTCACTGCCCACAGTCCACCCTGTTGGCTCTCCCACGAAACCACTGATGGGGCAGGGGGCGGGGAGACCACAGGGTCAGCTGAGTGTGAAGTGCTGCGCGCAGAAGTCGTCCTGCTGGCCCAGCAGACCCCGAGCGGGGATGAACTCCAGCGGTACGGACCCCTGGCCCTTCTTCTTCAGGTCCCGCTCAAACACCTGCAAGGCACAGGCAGATGACACGCCCGTACCGTGAGGTCCCTGCACTCCAGCCACCCAGGCCCCAGCGGCCCCCCGGCCCTCACCTCGAATGCTGTGAGCTCCAGCAGCGGGGCGATGCTGACCTCGGGCACAGACAGCGCCTGGTTGATGACGCTGGCAGCCTGGGACACCTCAGGGTGGTAATGCCGCTGGAGGGCCTATGAAGCACGTGATGTCACCTCCCCCGGCCCCGGACACCGGCCCAGGCTCAGGTCGGGCGGGGACGCGGCAGGGAGAGTGACGCGTCCGCCAAGCTCACCTGCAGCTCCCACAGCGAACTCTCCAGAGCTCGGCTCTTGGCGGGGTCCTCCTCTTCGGGGTCATAGGGGTCGGCATCCAGCTCTAGGAACGAGACCAGGCCCTACTCCACAACTGGCCCTGTGGACTCGCTGCTGGGGGCAGGCCCCCCGGGCTACCCAGCCCCCGCACTCACCCGGGCCCAGGGGGCGGTGCACGAGGACGCGGCAGGCGGGGTGTCGGCGCAGCAGGTCACAGATGAAGGGCAGGACCATGAGCAGGGCCTCAGGGGGCGCGGTCAGGGCCAGGCGGGACAAGCGCTTGGCGAAGGCAGCCACCAGGTAGGCGGGCAGATGGCTGGGTGGGACAGCGGGTGTGAGTGAGACCCCCTCGCCCAGCACCTCGGTCCCTGCTCTGGGTCTCAGCCCCACCCCAGCACTCACGAGGACGACAAGAAGAGATCGGCCAAGTGGAAAAACCGGGCCCGGTACTTCACGTGAAAGACGGATGGGTCCAGGAGACCATAGAGCTTCCGGTAGAAATCAGGGTACTCGCTGGGGGGG